ACCGGGCCCATTAGCGATTGGTGCCGCGGCCACCTGTGCGCCCCTGATTCGGGCTTGCGCGGGCCGGTGGGGACAATCCCGGGCTATGTGTCCTTGCTGGTGACACGTGTAGCAGACATTCGGGTTGCCTTTTGCCCCACTTGTCGTCGGGATCGGGGCCAATCCAGGCTATATCGGCGCGACTCTTACCGCAATGGGACGCATCGATCTCATCAACGACTCTATCCTAGCGTTACGCTCGCACTGCTCCTTTTTGTTTTCCTGTATCAAAGTAACTAACATTTTGGTCAGTTCTAGTATCGTAGTCGATTCGCTCGGTCGTGTAGGACTTTCAAACGGAGACGAGGGAGCAGTCATCAGAGGAACGGGTACCCGTATGAATGTGTCGGGAGTCGATCGTTCAGGGACGATTTGCTCTAGACAAGTAACTGGAACCGACACAAATCCCATGTTTTCGAATTTGTTTTGTAGCGTGGCGAGCTCCGTCTTTGCTCTGGTTAACTCAGATGAATCTCCCTCCCTAGGATAATCTTCTCCTTCGAGAAAGCTCGCAGCGAATTTTCGTTCCATCTCTTCTGCGACAGCCATGATCTGTTGCACTGTGTGGTTAATGGGGGAGAACTGCTTTCGCAGTTTCACCCTCATTGTCCTACTGTGGAGCCCGTCGATAAACAAATATCTCCCTACCTGCTTTCCCCGCTTAGTTTTGACAAACATTCGGTAAAACCGATTGCGATATTTAGTGACGGATTCGAGTGGCTTTTGAACTCGATCCTTGATCATAAAAAGAGCTTGCTCTGAATGAATATAAATCGAAACGATTCTGGAAATCTTGTTCGAACGTCAGAAGATCAATCCAAACGTAGGCGCTAAACCAATGATGCACATCCCTCCCAATCTGGCGGGGATGTTGATTCACGCTTCGTCATTGTCATACTGCTGCTCGCGAAGCGTGTCCAGTCACGCTCCCTCGAGATGATGCGCAGGATAAAAAAGGTAGAGATCGGGCGGGGCCACAAGTGCCCGTGCTCGTGGAGCGGGGGGGGGCCTGTTGGGGCTGGTTGGGGTTTTGCTGATTGGCGTTCATTTTGATCCTCTGTCGAGCAGTCGACCTACTTCTTGTTGCTATAGGATCGCGTCGTGGCGCGTTCCGCGGTCTGGGTCGTCCTCTGTTAGCCTGATCGCTTTGCGCTAACTACCTTCTTGTTAAGCCTGTGACTTGCCACGTATCGCTCTGATACCAACCTCACGCCCAGCGCGACTTCCTAATCGGAGAGAGATAGGGGTCTGGAAGTGCAAAAAAGAGGTGTGCTAAGGATTTTAGGAAAGTCGGGGTGGAGTCCCAGCTCGGAACTGAGATCTCCGGTGTCAAGTTTAGGGGTAGTGGTGCAAGATGGTATGAGAAGACCGTTTCTGGGATTATCTCATCTACCAATTGCGTCGCGGTGGTCGGTTCCTCATCTGATGAACCAGCGAGTCATGCTGGCTACCGCGCGGTTCGATCAGTTGTTGGCGTCGCTCGATTCCAGTTCGGGTTTGCTAGGTGATTTTCGAAGCTTGATACGCCCGGTGCTGCTGACACTTTTCGCACAGTGTGCGGGCCCAATAGCGGACTATGGAATTCCACGGTACCACTGTGACCTGGTGGCATGGAAGGAGGAGATGGAAGGGAGGAAAACTGGTAGTAATAATGACGAAGCCCGACGATATGTAATATTGAGTATTGTCAGTATCCGGGTAGTCTGGGCCTCGACGATCGCTAGGTATGGCCCAGTGAAAGTCCCTTGCGCACAGTCGATAGTTCTCCGTCAGACAAGGGAATTCCAGGTTTCTCAAGTTTCCCCACCGTCTGAGCTGTTCACTCTCCCAGCATTCGCGATACTCCGGGTCCCTCAGACTCTTACGATTGGTGATCCGAGAGGGGGTTCTTACAACCATATCCGATTAGCGAACTCGGTCTCCCATATCCTCATGATGAGTCAGGATCGAAGTCAACTCATGAAGACGCATGTGTGCGACACGACTCGGTTACCTCGAGATCGCGGTCGTACGCAGGCGCGCACATGAGCAGAAGCTGTTGAGGATCGCGTTCCTCGCGTCGGAGCATCGTTGTGTCCTCCCTACATGCAACTATGCTACCCAGGTCATCTTGGGTGATATCCAGTCATTACCTTCTCATCCATGCCATTCAGGTGACGAAGGGGAAGAGAAGAAGGGGGAGAAGGGGGCAATCACAACATTCTCGGTGTCCTGATGGTTAAAATCAGACGTCGGTGGCAAGTATTTTCGATCAGACCCGGGACTATTGCTCAACACAGATGGATACTAGAAAAGTGACAAATTAACTAAACATGCATCATAGAACAAGAGGAGAGAGAAATCCAAAAAAATCGCAAAAGAAAGGGGTTCACATCCATTCCATGTATACACACGAAGCAAACGACAACGAAAATACGACACGATTTGTGAAGAAAGTCCGAGAGGGCCGCAAAAAGATCGGCCAAAGTAGAAACAGAAAATTATACAGATGAATGGAAGAAGAGACCTCATCCCACGCACAACTGCTCTTTCTCTTTCTCTCTCTCTCTCTCTCTCTCTCTCTCTCTCTCTCTCTCTCTCTCTCTCTCTCTCTCTCTCTCTCTCTCTCTCTACTTACCGATGCCCGATGCCCGTCGTCGAACATCAACAAAGAGTTGTCACCCCGCTTGGCTCGAGCATGCAAGCCAGGTTCGCCCGTGCGCCAAAGTCTGTCGCGGCCCTCACGTCAACCCCGCATACCCGACACCAGCTCGTCGGATCGCCCAACTCTCTCGTCAACTCACCTCTTCCAGCTGACTCGTTAGCCGACCCTCACTGATCGCGCTTACTCCAAGGTTCATAGAGAGCAAACTTATCACGCTTGTGAAATTTATGGCATGCACTCTTGTGCGAAAGATATGGGATTAAGCCCAAGTGGTCAGAAGGAAAAGAGAGGAAGTGCCTACATTTGCATATTTAGGCCGTGATGTGGGGGTCGTAGCCGCACTCCAGGCATCGATCCGGTCATGCAGGTATTCAGGCCAATCAGGACGGAGCATTAAACGTGCAAGACAAAGAAGAAGAAGGCGGGCCAACACGAGGAAATAAAAAAAGAAGAAAAATACAGTTACAATCGGGCCCGTCAAAAGCGCCAGTTGCACAAGATTAAGGGCGCGATCCAGTCAGAGCCCAGTTCCCAGTGCAGCAAGATGCGCACAAGCGCGGCGCAACAAAATTCAGAGTACCTAAATTCCTAGCCTAAGTCCTAATTGCGAAAGGAAATTCCGAGGAGCCCAAAAACAATTCCGCGAGCCCGTGGGGGCTCGACATCAGTTGAAAATTCAAAAACAAAAAAAACGATATTCCCCCGCGATGATCACGCCGAAATGTCCAAGTGTTCCCAGGAGAACAAGAAAGAAGCCATGGCAACCGTTGTCCATCGCGCTTGCTAAGGCACGGTTACCCAATCGTTGGCGCAGAGACTTTCCCGACACCGTCCCGACAGACTCCCACAGAAAAAAAAAGAAGCGAGGCCATCCATGCAACTTGCCGCCTGACCCCTCTGTCCACGGTTCACCCATCCGACCCATCCATTTCCCCACGCAGCTTCGCGCAGAAAGTCGCGCAATTACAGAAAATGGTTCATCACATGGGGTGGATTCAAGACACTGACACGAGGCTCTCCCGAGCTCTGCCGGCGTATTGGAAACTGCTGATGGAACTGCCTGTGGTCAATCAAGCAAGTTTTTTGTGACTGGTGTGCCAGGCGCATATGGCAGTGCCCATTGCTTTGTGGTGTGCTAAAAGAACATCGAAGTCCTCTCCCCTTTGTGCCCAATGCCCCGGGGTTGGGATAGAAGATCTGCAACATTTCTGTCTTTATTGTGACCTCTCGAGACCTCTATGGGACTGGTGGTGCTCAGGAGTGGTCCGGGTGCCGCGGCCGGCGATACGCTGGAACAGCGATTTTATCCTTTTCAGGGCTGCATCTCGTAGACAGCCCAACAATACCCCTCTAACAAATGTGGAGGAGTGTTTGCGCGGAGCCGTGCTGTGGACTCTCAGGAACTCGGTAGTGCGTGGGGGGTAAAAGCTCACACCCCCAATGGTTCGTGCAGAAATTAAGTACGCTGTCAGCTTGTCGCTTCAAGTGGATGTGGGCCCAGTTTACGGGTCTGGTTGCAATGTCTGCTGAGTCTGGCCGTGCCCCTGAACTGAAATTTTAACCTTTTTCGTATAGGTTTTCCTACACTTCACTTCTTTACCTGTCTGTTCCTCTACCGCTGTGGGTCCGGCTGTGCTCCTCTGTTTTCCTTTTGTGCATACTACTGTGATGCGGTATGTCTCGCCTTCAAACTGGACGGTGATCTTCTTTTTTGTAAGGGACGCCAGGCCCGATTCCTGGCTCTGTAAAGAATTTTCTATTTTGATAGAATAAAACATAATAATATGCATATTCATACATAATATAATATAAATATAATCATAATATAATATAAATATAAGATATATAAATATAATAAAATATATAAATATAAAATATATAAAATAAAATATATAAAGCATATTCATAATATAATATAAATATAAAATAATAAATATAAAATATATAAAAATAATATAAATATAAAATATATAAAAAGAATATCTATAATAGACTATTATAATATAATCTATAATATCCTATCGAAATAGAAGATATTGTAGAATGTTCTATAATAGATCATATTGTATAAGATATTTTCTTGAATAAAAATCAAAACTGAGCTT